GGAAACCTACGGAGTCTGTTACCAATGTGGTGGCTGTTGAGTGGTTGTTTTGATCCACTTCAAGGTGCCTTAAAAATTCCTGGGAGGAATAAGTGCACTATTTCCCCTTCCCTCCACCCCGCCTCCATTCCACACAGCCAGCACTTTGGACAGCTAAGCAGTAGCTCAGAGGTACCTTGCCAGAGGCTCCTTAACCAAAAGTCACTCCCCAGGAGTGATACGTCGTCATTGGGAGGGGACTTTTTCTACAGAAGAGACACTAAATGTGTCTTCCTTTGTCCTGGAGGCAAAAAAGGTCAAAAGACACCTCCTGATATAAAACTATGAAACATCCCATAAACGCAATCAGCCCAAGCAGAATCCAGTGCCTCCTCAAAGGCGTCACCCACGGCTGGAACTGGAGGCCCGAGATGCGGTGAGAAATGGGGGGAAGCGTGGTGCGGGCTGGTGTCTGAGCGGAAGGCCTGCTCTCTGGGCCTGCTGGCTAAGCCTCCCGTTCCCAGAGGCCCTTCCCATGGGCTGGACTCAGCCAGGAGACACCCAGTTGTGGAGAGAGGATTCCTGGGCTTCTGAGGACAGATGAAACTTCGGGGCCCCTCCCTACAAAAGCCCCATCTGTGTCTCCTCCAGGCTAGAGAGAACCCACAGCCGGCCAGCCCTACCCTTAGGAACCCTTAACTCCTTTTTCCCATCTGTACCAGAGCATTGACTCAGCTCTCTGCAGGCTCCTCCCACACCAGCCTGGGAGATGAGTTTGGACCCCCTTCACGCCTGTCCCTGCTCCCCTGCCAGGAGTCCCGTCGTCGCCAGCCTTTATTTGCCCAAGCGTGTTTTGGGGAAAGCCTCTTGCTAATAAATACACTTACATCCTACTAAATATACTTACTGCCTTAACGTGCGGCCTCATGGATCGCTCTTCTAATGGGCAGAACCTTTACCACATACACAAACAGAACCTCCTGTCTGTGGGTGGTTTGGGTTTGGACAGAACTGGCCACATCTGCTGCATGATGAAGTGCTTCTTGGGCTTGTTGCCTAATGATGAGGCTAGAATTTATCCACGGCGACTTCATTATTGTTCGGCCTAGGAATACATGCTCAACACAGAGAAGTACGACGCAATACAGACACCAAAAAGCTTAGGATTTGTTTGTACACCCAAGAAGCGTCATTCTTGTTGCTCCTGAGAGACGTCAGCTGGGGTCACAGTGCGTTACAAAGGAGGCTGCTCACGGCAAGATCAGCAGTTTGAACCCACCAACCTGCTCCACGGGGAGAGCGGAGGCTTTCCTGCTCCAGGGAAGAGTTAGGGCTTCAGAAATGCACAGGGGGAGCCCTCCTCTGCCTAGAGGGTCCCCATGACTTGGGATCCTCTGGATGGCAGCGAGTTTGGTTTGTCTGTTTATGTTTTCTTGCCTTCTGCATAAGATTCTTGTCAAGATGGGATATTTTGGGTACGTAATGTACTACTTCATGCTGGTGTAGACCTTTGGTAAGCCTGATCTGCCATAAAGGTTAAACCCCCAGGGGGACACATGCCACTCACCAGTGGGTCTTCAATAGATGCCCCTTGACAAGAACGATGCCAGCAGCCCAGGCAGGCCGGCCCTGTGCTCTGGTGGGAAGAGGACGGGGCCCAGTGAGAAACACTCGGGTCTACTGACCACGGTCCACTATGTGGCCCTGGGGCCGTTGCTTCAGTTCTTTGAGGAAGGGGTTGCACTAGATTGTGTCAAAGGTTCTTTTCTTCCCTAATATCTTAGAAATGCTTTTGCACCAGCATTCCTTTCAACAGAAGATTAATATGGGTAATTTTCTTGTATTTTCATGGGTTTTTGTTAACATACTCTCACCCGCTTCATAGGAACGTGACTAGCCCCCACAGAAACTTGAAGTTTCGCACTGCTTTAGAAACTATGATGTCGAAAAAAATCGACATCATAAAAATGACCGAATATTCCTCCACCTAGACTTCACCTTTGCTACTATTTTGATGTCTTTCCTTCTCTTTCTGTTTGTAATTTTTGATGAAACTGAGCTTCTCTACAGTGCTGCTTTCGCAGGGCTTAAGTGTTATATGATAGGCATTTGCTTTTTTTCATATTCTTTGAAATGGTTTCCTAAACATCATTGTTAGTGGTCCCCTAGTGATTGCGCATTGGGCTGCTAACTGCAAGGTCAGCAGTTTGAAACCATCAGTCCCTTCTTGGGAGAAAGATGAGACTTTTTACTCCCATATAGTGTTACAGTCTTGGAACCCCCTGGGGACAGTTTGACCCTGTCCAATAGGGTTGTTATGTGCCAGAATTGACTCAATGACAGGGAGTGGGTGAATATCCCAATACATGGGTATACCGTGATGCATCTGTGGACCCTCCTTACACACGCCACTTTTGCTCACCTTTCTACTGTGATAATACTGCAATGAGTGCACCCCGTACCATTTAAAAATATCTGATCTGTCCCATTTTACAATGTGTCTAGGCAACACTACTTTCTCTGTCTTTTTGTTTTTATCCTCCTCAGTGGGTGTGGGTTACATTTTAAAATTTTCTTGTGGCAGAGGCAGCAAACCCCTTTGCATGTCGCTGCTGATCTTGGAAATGTGGAATTGGTGGAGACCCTCCTGAAGGCAGGCTGTGACCTGAAGATCCTGGGTAAGGTAATTCTCTGGGCTGCCCTCTGCCAAGCGCTCCCTGCCGGCTGTGAACCTTGGGCAGCAGCATTAATATATCCTTTGTGAGATGGAGTAGTGGTTACACACTGGGCTGCTAACCACAAGGTCAGCAATTCGATACTGTCTGCTTTGCCTTTCCATTCTCATGAAGAGTGACAGTCTCAGAAACCCCCAGGGGCAGTTCTACCCGTCCTGTAGGGTCGCCATGAGTCGGCATCTCCTCCATGGCAGCGAGTGTGGGTTTGGGGGTTTGGTTTGTGAGATGGATGGATACTGGGGATGGACAGAAACATGTATCTTCCCTGTCAGTGGGACACGGTCAGTAGCTCATGAATCTGAATGAGCTATGTCAGTAAGCGTTTTCACTCCAAGTGATCACATGGTTTAAAAAAATTCACATTATTTAGTATGTTTTCAAATCAGTTATAGAATCAGGTGTGTACCCTACAATATGAATTTATTGAGGGCATGCAGCAGAACACCAGGGGAACAGAGTAGTGAAACCCCCGGGGAATACCAAAAATAGACTTTGGAGACAGATTGTGGCATCCCATCAGACTCGACTGGAAAATACTCGTAAAGGCCAACAAACAGACCTTGAACTATTTATAGGCTTTTCAAAAAAAAAACCAAATTTATAAGTCGTAGACTTAGCAACATTTCCCTCCCAACGTCTGTCCCATCTGTCATTTGTCCCAGTTTTGTGCTGCCTTTGTAAGAGAGTTGTTATTGTTGTTGTGATGGTGGTGCTGGTGGTGGTGGGTGCCTGTGGAGGAGGCGCTGCCTCATGGGGACCCCGTGTACAACAGAACAAAAGGTTGCCTGGCCTGCACCATGCCCATGATGGTTGTAGATTTAAGTGCTCCTTGCCTAGCACAATGTTGGACAGGCGTCTCTTGTGATCCGTAGGATGTTCATTGGCTGATTTTCAGAAGTAGATCACCGGGCTTCCTCCTAGTTCATGCAGTAAACAGCAATAGAGGGACGTATCTGACCTCCTCTGGCTTTCCTATTGCCACAAGGCAGTGTCAGACAAGTCTCCGGGCTCCATTCTTTGCCTATTGTGACACCCACCATTTCTCCCCCACCATTCTACATCTTCGCTGGCTTTGAGAATCCCTTATAATGACCACACAGAACCCACAGACAATGCTCACAATTAAGGAGGTTTATGAGGGGAGTTTATAGGTGACCAGTCAGGATCAGCGGAGAGTCAGGATACAGTCATTGGCCTCCTCAGCCAGCAGCCACGTCTCTCTCTGGTTCTTAGTGTGTCAGCCACGTGGTCCCTTGGCCTTTGCCTTCATGGGAAGCCTGCCCGTCACTGTCCCACTTCCATAGTCTCGGGCCAGATAGAGAGTAGGTCCCTCATAGCCTCAGGGCTGTTCCTCTGCATCTCCATGCCAGTCTCTGATGAACGTGCTCTTCCAAGCTTCTCAGGATTTCTATCAACGATGGCTCACCACCCCCAAGCCTTAGAGCCAGGGGGGTGCTAACTAAAACTGGCAATGCCCTCTTTCAGTGCTGCACACACCCTTTTTGCATAGCCCACCCAACCCTTTGGTGGGAGTTATTGAGAGACTTGGGCTTAAGCGTCATGTTAAGAAATCTCATTCCACCACCATTGGTCTTCGTCTGAAAGCTCTACTGAATGAAACCTGCTCACCGTGGGTGACTCTGCTGCTATTTGAAAGACCAGCAACATGCAGGCCACCACAGTGGTGCTGGGCTTTCCCCATCGGCACCCACGACTACTGCGTCCTTGCATGCTTCCTTTGTGCATCTGTGTGAGCACGCATAAATACAGACGATTTCATCGCGGCATTCTTTTCCAACCACAGCAGCTTACCGATATTTCCGTTCTGCATTTCACTTTTTGAGAACTTCTCAGTGTACAGTGGAGATCTTATCAGGAAGTGACGTTGCTTCCTTCTTCTTTGTGCCAGTTCGCGGGCCTCACAATTTGATTTTCCCAGATGTTGATCTTCCTCCTTCCTCTTCTTAGGGCTTGTTACATGATGAGCACGTAATATCCATTTAATTAATGAACACAAACAACCTTTACTATCTGCACCACAGTTTTGACCCCAAATAAGTAGTTTTTTATAAGATCACATGGCGGTGGGGGGCATGCGGGGGAACCAAGGCTTGGTGTAAACTGACCCTTTGGAAGAAGCCTGTCTACTCAACCTGAGGCCCTGCAATGTTCCTGGAGGTCTCTGTCCAGCTCACCCCCTGTGCTGTCCTGCCAGCGACAAAAATATTTGGACGTCCACTCCCGCAAACACTCCCTAGGAAGATTTTCTTAGGAGCTTGCAAACCCTAGCTCACAGAATACTTCCTTCCTAAAATAGGCTAATTATGGTGATTCAAATGGCTTTACAAGCCAGAATTTAGGCAGGGATACAATTACAGCCTTGCTAAATGCCTGCAAAATGCAGTGCTTCCTAATTTCATTACTGTCTCTTTTGATTAGGGGCTGATTACTTTCAGCCCAGATGTTCAGGCTCACCTGGGTCTTAGCGCCTGGAATACCAGCCAAAGCATCTGTGTTGGAGGGAATTGTTACCACTATCCAGACAAGTAGGAGCATCAGGGGCATGCATTGCTAGAGTTCTGAGGATAGAATCACAGGAATCCAAAGAGTGGAATTTTTCTGATCATTGCTGTTCATTATCTGTGTGTAGTTGGTATGGATCCATGAGAACCAGTCTGCCTTTGCTTAAGGGACAGTTGACAGATGGACAGGCCGTCTACTGCCTAAGGTCCCAGCACCCTGCTTTCCGAGCTTTGTGCCTGGCTTTGTGCTGTGCTGCACCCTTCTTGAGAAAAGAACACTGCTTCATGGTTTAGCTAAGGCACCCTCATGAGCGCCAGGCAGCTCACACCAACGTAATGTCCTGCACCGCTGTTGGCTAACACTGTAACCTTTCCCTCACTGGTATAATAGAAAGTGGCCTAGAAAGGGGTTCCATGAGCTGGATTCTCTATTGTGAATTAGCAGTGTTACTCAGCAGTGTTACTCAGATTAACACCAGGTTTGCAAACATTTATACACCAATCTCTACGGACACGCGTCACAATGACACGTGAACAAAATCACACAGTTTCTTTAAAGTTTTTCACTTAAAAATCCATATGATTATACACTATTAACTTGCAAATTAAGCTATGTGATCCTGCCTATTTATATAAAATTTATAATATTTAGCATTATGCAACATTTGAGACATTGGGTTCTCCGTATTGTAAGGGTCACTTGGGTTGGTTAATATGACAATCTCTGCTGTGTTATTTGTCTTTACATCTGATGTTTACTTTCTAAGAACTTTCTGATTATGCTTATATTTATTACTGAAGTATAGTGCTTTCATGAATGAAGTCGATTTACTGAAATTAATACTCAATTTACGTCATGTCAAACGGACGCGCATCTGTAGAGATAGGTATTTAGCACACAGAGAATTTCGAGATTAGAAGGCTGAGAAGAAAATTATTTCAGATATATATTTGTCTTGCTCAATGGATCAAAGTCAGCAGACCTGGTAGGAAGCACCCATAAATGTAAATTTTGTGGTGGAACTTGAAATGCACCAACCTAGTGTTAATAGGATCCATGTCTTTTCAGTTGATTATTCCACCCTCCTCGACACCCGGCTTCCACTTCGTGGTCTTAAGTGGCTGATGGTTCAAACTTGGCCTTCATGGCAGTGTTCCCTCAGGAGGAAGGCGGGAGAAGTGTGCCCCTTCTCTCTTTACAGAAAATCCTCCAAAGTTGCAAACTACCCCCCCGCCCCATGTAAATCCACCGGTCAGAACTTAAGTCAATTCTTAATGGCAAGGAAAGCTAGGAAATGCCATCAATATTTGTGGTGGCCACAAGCCCAGCTAAGAATCATAAGGTTTCTTCTTATAGAAGAAAGAAAGAAAAGGCGATTGGGGGACGCCGAGAGCCTGCCCTGATGGAGTCCTCCCTGGGAGGAGAAGACACATGATGTTGTTTACTTGCCGAGGACTTCACTGTGCAGTGAGCCAGGAGGATGCCGGGAGCCCGGGAGTAGAGGGTCCAGCAGCAACGCTAGGGTTCTTAGCCACAGCCAGCACCTCCAAGCCCTTCTCCATCCCCACCTAGCATAACGTGATCCCTCGCCTTCCTAACACTTCTCCCAGAAACCTTCCCCTCTCTTCACCCTTCTGCTGGTGCCACAGCCAATCAGCGGGAAGCGTGGGCTCCTTATAGACATGATCATTTATCCCTGTCCCCAAAGGTTATTTACACAGGATTCCTTTGTTCACTCTCTCTCTCTGACTTTCTTCACATTCTCTCGTGGCCGCACGTCCGTCCCTCCCTCCGTCTCTTCCTCTCTCCAGCTCTCCCTTTCTTACTTTCGGCTTTTCTCTCTTTATGCTGTCTGCCAATCTCCTCTCACCCTGCCCCCTTGACTCTTATTCCACTCTAAACACCCGGGCAGCTCATTAACTCTAATAAAACCTGTTCATTAAAACCCACACGCTGGGTCCACTTTCCTTTTATTCCCATTCCAGCAAGGAGAAAGACTGTCGTTCTTGATGGTAGAACATGGCTAAAACACCCTCTGTTTTCACATTCCCCCAACAATGACCTTTTGCTGTCTACGTCTTAGGAGAATGGATGGAGGTGTGATGGCCCTGTGAGCCTTTGCTACGTAGTTATCATCCTCAGAAGAGCGCAGCCAGCTCCCTGCCGTTGCTTTGTGCCCCTTCAATCCTTTTTCCTTTTTCCAGTCGACAAGGCACCTGAAGCCATTGAGAGCTCACATCTCTTGGACAATTATCATGTGCCAGCTTGTCCTGCAAAGTGTAGTCACAGTATCACATTTACCAGCCCCAGAGAAGCTGGTCTAAGTACACACAGCAAGGCAGAAACAGGATTTGGACTCGGGCCATCTTGTTCCAAAGCTAGCTAACAGTACTGTCTGACTCTTCCTTTTTAACGTCAGCAAGGGAGGACTGCCCTAGTGGCGGCCTCCAGGAGCAACCACAGTCTGGTCGTGGACATGATCATTAAAGCAGATAGATACTACGCCTGGAAAGAGGTAAGGAGTGGTGATTCCAGCAAAGCCAGGGGTTCTCTAGGCAACCTCCGTCTTCTTACAGGGTAACGTGGGGTCTGTGCAATTCTCTTCTTCCTTCTTTCTTTCAGTTTTCCTTGGGGGAGTCCTGTGTGGTGCAATTATAACTGTCCTTTCTACCCTGTGCTGTCCTCTTTCATGAACTGAACAATGACCTGTCCTTCTTCCCCTTCCTTTGCTGACATCAGACGTTGCCCTTGGGTCTTTTTCAGTTTCTTGGCAATGGGATCAGACTGTTGTAATCCATTGGAATATGAGTCATTGGCCTGCCGTTCTAGTGCACCTTAGTCTAGAAGCGCTGCTGATATCTGTTCAGCAACACACTTGATAACAACTCACAAGCCTACACTGGATTGGCTGGGAATTGGACCCTGGTGTCTCTCTGGCAGTTTGAACCCATGAGCCACTCCATTGGAGAAAGATGAGGCTTTCTAGTCCCATAAACAGTTACAGTCTCAGAAACTCACAGGGGCAACCGGGGCGCCATGAGACAGTATTAACGCCACAGCAGCAAGTTTGGTTTTCTGGTTTGGGGTCCTTCCAGAAAGGTGAGAATTCCTCCACTGAACCACAACTGCCCCCTATTGGCATGACCAATCAAATGAGAGTTCAGTTGGGTCGAACAGCCCAGCCCATATTGCCTACTGAGCATGCCACTGGTGGTCGACTACTGCACCCTCTGACCAGGATTCCATGGCTATGATCCATTCTGGAAGCTTCCAGACTAGCAGTCTGGTTAACAAAGCTCATGTTTTGGTACTTCAGCTTGCAACACAACCATTTGCTAGTTCTTAAAACAAACAAATAAGCAAACAAAACAACAAACACTCACGGCTACCAAGCACTCAAGTATGTTGTGATAGTCACTAAAACCTAATTTTTTCTTGTAAACACACATATAAAACATCTTCAAGTCCTTCTTTCTAGTCTTTCATTTATTTTTACCTCCTCTTAGGAGGCCTGTGGCCTAGTGGTTTCTAGTTAGGCTGCTAACCACAAGGCCAGCAGTTCGAAA